GGCTGCTCGAGCGCAAGGATCCAGGAGGAGACAAACTGAGTAGTAGCTCTTTTCCTCGACCTTTATGCTGACGTTTTTGGTGTGTAGCCAGATTCCTCGCCGTCAGGTTCGTTGATCCTTCGCTGATACAGAGGGGACATGAATACCGTACTTCCGTTGGGCATCGTGGCGCAGGTCCAGGTACGGGTGATGGTGGTGCCAAATCTTGGTTCATGACACCACTCATTGCCGATGCGACTGGAGGCTCCAGTGCAAAGCGATTCCACGTCAGTCCATCAGTATATCGCTGCTGCTGCTACTACCTTCCACCATGCTACTGAGCGTGCGTGGTGGAAGTGGTGATCTCACACGAATTGGCCAAGGGAGATGTGTGTGTTTTTATTATTAGCATCGACCGCGCTATCCGGCTGTGTGTGTGTGTTCGCACCACCTTTGCACCGATATACAAGCCGATTGAGGATCGTTTTCGGTGCGGAAAAGTGCACGAGCTGTAGCGTAACAAGGCCATCATTCCGCACCCAAGCGTTTCTCATTTCGTGCCCGCGTCGCTGCGTTCGGTGCCGATATGTACTCTATTCACAATCCGTTTCATCGATAACTGCGCCAATTGGTGACGTTCTGCAAAAAAACGAGTGCCCAAGCCTACTCCTAATAGGTGAACACTTCTCGCGTCGTTGTTTCCTTGCACCAACCCCTAAGTCACTCGTTCACACCCGGTTTGTCCTCTCTTTGCGGCGGGACACGTACGTGTGTGTCGGTCGGTTTGGTTCTGCTGCTGCTGTGTTCTTTTTTTGACCTCGTCCACACCGAGTGGCCAACTTTGGCACGTGTTCAGACCAGCTACCACGCATCTCCTCCTCTACAGCTGGCGGCTTTCACTATCTGCATGTCACAGAGAGAGGGTGTTCGCGTGTGGTTTGCAGTCCACGACAGGGCGTATTGAGGAGGGGCTCGCGATCGGCGACAACTCGCGTGCTAGTTCAAATATTCTGCTGCTGCTGTGTTCTGAGTGGTGGGGCATTTTTTTCTACTTCTTCAT